TATATATATATATATACTGGGCAGTGACGCCCTCTGTGGCCGTGTAGTCTACATCATCATCTCATCATCTTGCGGCCTCAGCCGAGATTGAACTTACAACACCTTTCCAGTATTCCTTATCTGTCATAGCTAATACTTTGATTGGTGTAGTTCATAATCTTGTCAAATAGCTGAATTCTTGATGCTTCGCTAGGGCTATCAAGGGTGTTTTTATCGTGACACCATCACTAAATGGATTGCCAACCAAGGCTCAGAGAGACTCCATTCACCCTCCGCAGGTTTTCCTTCTCCTAGACCAGTTGCCATCCAAGGCTATAGAACCCAGTCTGTCCTGCTATTTACCCATAGCTGGAGGGAGAAGAAGAGGATTCACACCTTTCCCAAGGGTATTAGCACGTAAGTGAATGTAATGGATTCGACTGGAATTCGAACTTGGCTCTCCGATTCCTCAATCCAAGCCGCTATCCATTACTCCACCATGCCGTGTAGTCTGAAGCACCCCGGATATAACGGCGGTTCTACTACGAAGGGGAATACAGGTTCGTTTCCTGCCAGAGAGAATATTTTTATTAGGGTTTCTCGAATGCGCAGGCCGATAGATGCAATACACACTGATTAATATAAAAATGGAGCGTTTATTCAAATACGAATATCCACTATAAATAGCACTTGAACTAATAAAAATGTCGGATAAAAATAAAAAAATAAATTCCATTAATTAATACATACATAAATATATATATATATGTGTGTGTGTGTGTATGTGTCTGTGTGTATGTATATATATATACGTTTATATATGTTATATACGAAAATGCCACAAAGACGTCAAATTGAGCTATAAACGTGTGTCGATTTTGCGTTTTCTTTGTTTAATTAGCTTATTATATTTCCCATCTGAATTGTGAAATGGCCGCGTTGAAGTATCGACGAGGAGCTAGAGAGGAGTCCTTCCCGCTCGAATCTCAAACAATTATTTCTTCGTCTACCGATAACATCTTTCGTTGAAATGTTCGACAATAGATTTCGTGTGTCCTCTCAGTTCACATTCACGGACGGTTAACTCCCTTCAACTTATCAGAACTCTTCAAGAAATGAAGAGAGGAAAAGTTCACAAGTATAGTTTGCCTAATTGGGAATGGATCTAAAACCAAGCCACGAAAGAATTTTTAACTTTGTATGGTTGTCGACTAGCCAATTTTTTTTATTGTATCATGACAATGTATATATTCTTTGTTTTAACAAGGAACAGACTACCATTTTATTTCCGTTGTGTATAAAAGTCTGTAAAATGAATCTCTATTAAAATATAAGTGAGCATGTTAGATATTTACTGGGCGAAGACGACTTTGACGCCGCACTATTTATATGGATCCCCAAGAACGCGGATTATGGGGCGACACATTTTGAATTGGTGGATATTTTAGACATGTTTGGCACAAGGCCGTGTGGATGCAACAACAAGTGAGAATTCATCTCATTAACTGCTGTTTGTGAGATTAGGACATACAAACATACAAAAAACAGTACTTAGAAAAAAAACGAACACATATAATAGCACCTTTGATGGTATGGGTCAAATCTTGCCCTGTGTCTTGTATGAAAAGCGAAGCCCCTTGTAAGCTAATTTTATCCCAAACCCAACGTTTAATAACGTAGGCTATAATTTTACATCAGACGATCCCTTTTACCTGGCTGGGTTTCGGTATTACTTTATTAACGCAAAAAAAAAAAAACAAACAAACAAAAAAACATTATTATTATTTTCTTTGATTTCTATTGTATACAAATTTCCTTCCGGATTCCAACCAAAAACCTAAGGTCAGAAATGGCTTCCTGACATTTTCCACTAATCGCTTTTGTAAGAAACAAAAACAAAACCAAAACCTATGATCACACACATTTTACATAGATAAAGCTCTTCGTAATATGTGAGCTGTACTTCGTAAGGTGTGGGCTGTACTTGTAAGGACAATTTTTTAAATATTTCTTTAAGGCATGGATTACCAGGAATCTCTTCAATGAGTCTGTTGGAATCTTTTCCAACCAATCCGAGGAATCTAACTCCAACTGGAATTGTTAATTGAGATTTCGATTTCAATTTCAAGGTCTTTGCATTTTGATAGTTTTTTGAAGATCTTCAGAGATACATTGCAGCCTGCAGGGACTGCCATGTCAATAAGAAGGCATATTTTTTCTTTGCGGTCTCTGATCACGATGTCTGAGCGATTAGATTTGATTGGTCTGTCTATGTGTAGTGTAAAGTCCAATAAAATTATTATTATTATTATTATTATTATTATTATTATTATTATTTATTTACTTCAGTCGTAAACCTATTTCCTCTCTGGTCCCTGCCAGAGACCTAAGATCAGAATTCGCACCATCACATTTTCCCTTACACATCTCTGTAAAAGAAACTGCCCATTTTACGCAGAGAAAGGATTTCGTAGGGTGTGAGCTATTTTTATAAGAACACCTTTTTTGTATTTCCTTAACCCATAGACTGCTAGGGAACCCCTCAATGAGCCTATCAGAATACTTTCCAATCATACCCAAGGCTCCAACCACAACTCGAATTACCGATACCTTTATAGATTCTTGGAAATTCTACTTTTAAGATTCTAGTATTTTGTTAGTTTTTTGAAAATCTTCAAAGCTACATTAGAGTCTGGATGAAGTGACATGTCAATAAGAAATCACATTCTGTTTTTGTGAACTTTGATCCCTATTTGACCATTATCTTTTAGCGATTATTCTTTCAGAACATGGAAGATCATTACGTGCTAATACCCTTGGGAAAAGTATGAACCCTCTTCTTCTTCCCCCCACAGCTATGGGAAAATAGCAGGACACTCTGGGTTGCCTTTGATGGCAACGGGTCTACCGCAGAAAGAATGGCAACTTACTGCGGGAAAAAAAATCTGCCTCCTCAGTCATGTATCGAAAAATGCATGACCGCGTAAGTGTGTATCACGCATGGCATATAACTGACAATAATTGCGAAAGATGCCATCCAGAAATTAAGCAAAGTATTTGGGAATAAGAAAAAAATGAACAAAAAAGCGCTTAACTCCTATGTAATATTAATCGCCTTATATGAAATGTGTTTCAAAATGTGTTTTGCAACTCTAAGTTCGAATTCTAGTCGAATGCATTACATTCACTTACGTGCTAATACCATTGGGAAATATATGCATTCTCTTTTGCCCTCCAGCTATGGGTAAATAGCAGAACAGACTGGGTTCTATAGCCTTGGATGGAAACTGGTCTACCGCAGATAGAATGGCAACCTACTGCGGAAAAAATCTGCCTCGTAAGTCATGTATCGAAAGATGATCGCCTATGCATGACACGTAACTGACTGAATATTGAAACTATAGATTCATTGTAATTTTTGTCTTATTGAATTTGGTTCTGGATTAGGAGGAAATGAAGAAAATAATGGCAAAATAAAGAATTGAAAACAGAAAAGAAAAAGATTGACTACGATATTAAATGTCTTAACAAAAGAAGCTGGTATGTTATTAGATAACCAACCAGCCAACCACTTTCTTTGGCTAATGCGCTAGGTCACATGCTGGAAAACAAGCAAATATCTATTTAATTCTTTTAGCTAATAGCGGTTTGGCGGGGACAGACGTAATCCTTGTTTCGAATGTCTGTTCCATACATCAACTTTGTGATTGTTTATGTTTTCTTCTTAAGATAAGAAACCGTAACAATCGTTATCCAACTTATAATTGTTCTGTCTACGGATTTATTTCGAAAGTAAAAGAAGATTCGGAAAAAGCAAATGTATTTTTACTAATTTGTTTTCTCTAGTCTTTCTTCTTCGTATTCTTCTGCCAAACTCTCTTTAAAATCGCAACAATTATTCTGTTGTTTCTATATCGGCCGCAGGTTCACGTAAAACAAATTGCGATAAAAGCATCAGAAATAAAGGAACTCCAGACAGAGATTAATAATGCTAATGTTTCAGCTGATAATAGATTATCACGTCTAATACTTTTTTTTTTACATGGCCAAATGGTTAGAACGTCAGCAATTCTACCATGAGATCCAGGTCTGAATCTCACTATGGCTGATTTATCCGGTGTGTGGTTGTGGCTTCTTCATATTATCAGCAGAGGGGGATGTGGAGGCTTACGGCCATATCACGTTGAAACACCAGTTCCTGCACGATCACCGAAGTTAAGCAACGTCGGGCCTGGTCAGTATTTAGATGGGAGACTGCTTGAGAATACCAGGTATTATTAGCTTGGATGTGCGGGTGGTGTAATGGATAATAACTCGGAATTGCTAATCAGAGAGCCGAGTTCCGATTCCTTCTGAGAAAATTAGTAAGACTTGTTTCAATAGATCATTATTATCTCAAAAAATAATTCTTATAATTAAAAAAATACCCAACAAATTCTGTCTTTAAATAATCTGTAAAGAGTTGATAAACTGTAAAAAAAACAACAAAACAAAACAAAAAAAAAACTAAATCAAATCAAATCAAACTAGGGTGAGGGGACCTTAGGCCTGAAAACAATGACGCCGGGTAACTCAAGCTTTGCGAGTGAAATTTAGTTGATCTAACTGGAAGCAACCAATAATTGTGCCAGCATGAGATCATAAGTCACCATGACTGAGCGTTTTAGTGCGTTTGGCTTTGTTCAAACTAATTATCACGACAAATTATGCGCTCTCTCCCAGAAACTGTAACTAAGGTCTGCTCAGCATAGTTGCAGTATAAACCACAGGCTGGCTCGCTGTGTTAAAAATACACTAATTTGCCTAAGTAAATGTGAGCAGCAAGAATTTATATTTCTTAAAAAAGGTTGAGTCATGCCTTGAGTCATAAAAATTTCGATGATGTAGGCCGGTAGACGTTAATTTCCCCATTTCTTTAAAATTAACACTTATCATAATAAGGAATACATATCTATCTATCTATCTATCTATCTATCTATCTATCTATCTATCTATCTATTTATGTACAGAAAAAGACATGTGTATAGGTATATAAATACTCATAGATTTACATGATTTTGTTTATATTTCTGAGATGAGGTATTGTAACTATTTACGCTATTTACATTATTCAGATTGTTGTTCTCTTCTTTATTGCTATATTCACAATGTTTCGGTCGTTGTACGCTCCGAACTTCTGCGGGTGATATTTTTTGATATTTTTTTTTTCAAATAGAATCTTTTATTTAGTCCAAGAGGGTAGATTGTTCTAATTCCACGTGACATGCCTTTGGATATCTCTGTTTCAGTTAATTCCCCTTGATACCTCTCCAAGTTTTTGTTCCCTCTGCTGTGACCAGGTATTGAACTCACAAATCTTTGGGTCAAGCCAATTTTGGATCCATCACCCAACACGTTTATCCACCGGAGACATTAGTCAGTGAATTTTTAGCACTGATAAACCTAATATCTTAGTAACCATTTTTTAACAGAGCCCATTGTTGTAGCATACCTATGGACGATAATGGGTATGTCCCCATTCACATAAATACAGTAGTAAATACTGTATGTTGGTCTGCAGTCGGAGATTCGAGGCTATGTCAAAGGACAGATTCTCGTCTCGGGAAAGAGCTACCCGACCCCGTTTTATACGGGGTTTACTGGAAATTTTGGGCCGAGTTTACGGGCATGAATACTCCACATTAAATTCGGCCTTGTACCATATCTGAAGGTACTGAGGGCGGTTGGTAGATATCCTGCAATTGGAGATTCATTGTGGAATTCACTTGACTCTCGTCTAGCAGTTGTCTACTTCTACGCGCCACTGGCGAATCATATATGTGTTGTTCTTGTCCTAAGTATTATCGTTTATCACCAACCTTCGTTTGATTATTCTATTCAGCAATCTTCCCTAGGTACAACATTCATATTACAATATTTTTGTTATTGTTGTAACACGAAGGGAAATAAAAAAAATCAAGCATGCCTGACTATATATGGAGAGAAAATGAAGATCCCCGCCCTCTGTGGGATGAGATAGAAATAACAAACAGAGAACATCACTGGAAAATACTAAAACTTAAGGAACCAGCGTATATGTTAGGACACAAAAATCTCCTAAGCAGGCCAAGCATGGAAATGATTACAATATGGGAACCTGTAATACAGAGTGATTGAGAAAAACAACGATGATAAAAATTATAATATGAGCTCTGGCATAAATGTTTACTGACATATTAGGTTTATAAGACCCCCAAATTAACTCATGACTGCATATGCTTTTATACATATATGGTGGTTATTCCGAAAGCAATACCTCCTAATTTGTTTCATTGGCCCCCAACGTAAGAGACAGATGTTGGTAGTATAACAGATGAGGTTCAGCCAGTAATCCATACTGTTTTTTTTTGCCTTGTTACAGATAACTGATTGAAAGTGCGAGCGAAGCAGAAGTGTGTCATTGAATTTCCCAACGCTATAAAAAGAAATTGCATCCATTGAAGTTTTTCAACACTTACGGAGACCAAACAGTGGATGTGAGTACCGTAAGACGACAGGGACGACAGTGACCCTGCATGGCTGTATACTTATGAAAAGCGCCTCGGAAATGCTGCCAAACTATATGGAAAATACTGATACCAGATGAAAACATGTTTACCATCGAAATAATTAGGATGTCTTATCAGAAGGTGTTTTAACATAGGACGGAAAATGCGATACCGAAATCCGAAGGTGCATTGGGATAGCGAAAGATGCCTTCCAAAAGCTAAGTAAAGTATTAAGAAACAGTAAAATATCTGGGAAGTGTTTTAACAGAGGACGGAAAGTGAGAGACGGAAATCGAATAAAGAAAGATGCGCATTGGGATAGCAGAAAGATGCCTTCCAAAAAGCTAAGCAAAGAATTAAGAAACAGTAAACTATCTGGGAAGTGTTTTAACAGAGAACGGAAAGTGTAGGAAAGAAATCCAAAGGTGCATTGGAATAGCGAAAGTTGCTTTCCAAATGCTAAGCAAAGTATGAAGAAACAGTAAACTATCTGGGAAGTGTTTTAACAGAGGACGGAAAGTGTAGTAGGAAAGAAATCCAAAGGCGCATTGGAATAGTGAAAGTTGCTTTCCAAATGCTAAGCAAAGTATTAAGAAACAGTAAACTATCTGGGAAGTGTTTTTAACAGAGGACGGAAAGTGTAGGAAAGAAATCCAAAGGCGCATTGAATAGCAAAAGTTGCTTTCAAATGCTAAGCAAAGTATTAAGAAACAGTAAACTATCTGGGAAGTGTTTTAACAGAGGACGGAAAGTGTAGGAAAGAAATCCAAAGGCGCATTGGAATAGTGAAAGTTGCTTTCCAAATGCTAAGCAAAGTATTAAGAAACAGTAAACTATCTGGGAAGTGTTTTAACAGAGGACGGAAAGTGTAGGAAAAGAAATCCAAAGGCGCATTGAAATAGCAAAAGTTGCTTTCAAATGCTAAGCAAAAGTATTAAGAAACAGTAAACTATCTGGGAAGTGTTTTAACAGAGGACGGAAAGTGTAGGAAAGAAAATCCAAAGGCGCATTGGAATAGTGAAAGTTGCTTTCCAAATGCTAAGCAAAGTATTAAGAAACAGTAAACTATCTGGGAAGTGTTTTAACAGAGGACGGAAAGTGTAGGAAAGAAATCCAAAGGCGCATTGGAATAGCAAAAGTTGCTTTCCAAATGCTAAGCAAAGTATTAAGAAACAGTAAACTATCTGGGAAGTGTTTTAACAGAGGACGGAAAGTGTAGGAAAGAAATCCAAAGGCGCATTGGAATAGTGAAAGTTGCTTTCCAAATGCTAAGCAAAGTATTAAGAAACAGTAAACTATCTGGGAAGTGTTTTAACAGAGGACGGAAAGTGTAGGAAAGAAATCCAAAGGCGCATTGGAATAGCAAAAAGTTGCTTTCCAAATGCTAAGCAAAGTATTAAGAAACAGTAAACTATCTGGGAAGTGTTTTAACAGAGGACGGAAAGTGTAGGAAAGAAATCAAAAGGCGCATTGAATAGTGAAAGTTGCTTTCCAAATGCTAAGCAAAGTATTAAGAAACAGTAAACTATCTGGGAAGTGTTTTAACAGAGGACGGAAAGTGTAGGAAAGAAATCAAAGGCGCATTGAATAGCAAAAGTTGCTTTCCAAATGCTAAGCAAAGTATTAAGAAACAGTAAACTATCTGGGAAGTGTTTTAACAGAGGACGGAAAGTGTAGGAAAGAAAATCCAAAGGCGCATTGGAATAGTGAAAGTTGCTTTCCAAATGCTAAGCAAAAGTATTAAGAAACAGTAAACTATCTGGGAAGTGTTTTAACAGAGGACGGAAAGTGTAGGAAAGAAAATCCAAAGGCGCATTGGAATAGCAAAAGTTGCTTTCCAAATGCTAAACAAAGTATTAAGAAACAGTAAACTATCTGGGAAGTGTTTAACAGAGGACGGAAAGTGTAGGAAAGAAATCCAAAGGCGCATTGGAATAGTGAAAGTTGCTTTCCAAATGCTAAGCAAAGTATTAAGAAACAGTAAACTATCTGGGAAGTGTTTTAACAGAGGACGGAAAGTGTAGGAAAGAAATCCAAAGGCGCATTGGAATAGCAAAAGTTGCTTTCCAAATGCTAAGCAAAGTATTAAGAAACAGTAAACTATCTGGGAAGTGTTTTAACAGAGGACGGAAAGTGTAGGAAAGAAATCCAAAGGCGCATTGGAATAGTGAAAGTTGCTTTCCAAATGCTAAGCAAAGTATTAAAAACAGTAAACTATCTGGGAAGTGTTTTAACAGAGGAAATAGCAAAAGTTGCTTTCCAAATGCTAAGCAAAAGTATTAAGAAACAGTAAACTATCTGGGAAGTGTTTTAACAGGGAAAAGTGTAAGAAATCCAAAGGCGCATTGGAATAGCAAAAGTTGCTTTCAAATGCTAAGCAAAAGTATTAAGAAACAGTAAACTATCTGGGAAGTGTTTTAACAGAGGACGGAAAGTGTAGGAAAGAAATCCAAAGGCGCATTGGAATAGCGAAAGTTGCTTTCAAATGCTAAGCAAAGTATTATCTGAAACAGTAAACTATCTGGGAAGTGTTTTAACAGAGGACGGAAAGTGTAGGAAAGAAATCCAAAGGCGCATTGGAATAGCGAAAGTTGCTTTCCAAATGCTAAGCAAAGTATTAAGAAACAGTAAACTATCTGGGAAGTGTTTTAACAGAGGACGGAAAGTGTAGGAAAGAAATCCAAAGGCGCATTGGAATAGCGAAAGTTGCTTTCCAAATGCTAAGCAAAATAAACTTAAGAAACAGTAAACTATCTGGAATAGAAAGTGTTTTAACAGAGGACGGAAAGTGTAGGAAAGAAATCAAAGGCGCATTGGAATAGCAAAAGTTGCTTTCCAAATGCTAAGCAAAGTATTAAGAAACAGTAAACTATCTGGGAAGTGTTTTAACAGAGGACGGAAAGTGTAGGAAAGAAATCCAAAGGCGCATTGGAATAGCAAAAGTTGCTTTCCAAATGCTAAGCAAAGTATTAAGAAACAGTAAACTATCTGGGAAGTGTTTTAACAGAGAACGGAAAGTGAGAGACGGAAATCCGAAGGCGCATTGGGATAGCGAAAGATGCCTTCCAAAAGCTAAGCAAAGTATTAAGAAACAGTAAACTATCTGGGAAGTGTTTTAACAGAGGACGGAAAGTGCGAGACGGAAATCTGAAGGCGCAGTGGGATAGCGAAAGATGCCTTCCAAAAGCCAAGCAAAGTATTAAGAAACAGTAAAATATCTGGGAAGTGTTTTAACAGAGGACGGAAAGTGAGAGACGGAAATCCGAAGGCGCATTGGGATAGCGAAAGATGCCTTCCAAAAGCTAAGCAAAGTATTAAGAAACAGTAAAATATCTGGGAAGTGTTTTAACAGAGGACGGAAAGTGAGAGACGGAAATCCGAAGGCGCATTGCGATAGCGAAAGATGCCTTCCAAAAGCTAAGCAAAGTATTAAGAAACAGTAAAATATCTGGGAAGTGTTTTAACAGAGGATGGAATGTGTGAGACGGAAATCC